CCTGCTCAGCTTGGCTGCTCCTCTGGTTCCTGTTTGGAGGAGCGTGAACCATTTCGCTTGGCTCTGAGTCCTGATGTCTTGGACTGGCCTTCCTCTAGGGACCAGAGGTCCCAAACATAGGCATGGCAGAGCCTGGCTTTTAGTCTCCAATGTCTTTTTTTAGATCTAGCCTGTTCTGCATTAAGGAGAGAGCCAAGAGCGGAAATTCCCTACAAAGTATTCATATATGGAGAATATACTTCCCAAAATGCTAAATATTTTCATATCTTATTTATATCCGTGGGAGTTGAGGAGCTGCAGCGCTTCACGGGAGTCACTCAACTTTGCAGGATGCGACTCAGAAGGACTCCATGGAGCAAGATTAAAATAGCGCGCTGCGAATTGTTCCCAACTGGTCACTATTTCTTCCCTTCCACATACAGTGATAATTGCCACTGCAATCTCTTTTTACTGCTTTTTCATTAAACCCATACATTGTCTTCCTGCTAAAAATAAGGACTAAATGCAGATCACTCAAGTTAATAGTGTCCTGATGTGCAAGTACTGCATGATGCGACTGGGAGGGTGCCTGGGGCTGACACATATTTGCCCCCACACAGGAGAGCACCCCAAACGGGCCACTGCCCATGTCTAGCAAGGCCCTATAGTGCCCTGGAAAGCATCCCTCGGGCTGTACATCCGCTGGTCTGTGTCACCACCACTGCTGCTCTCCTGCGGGCACCCCGGTGCGGCCGAGCAGGATGCTGGGCGGCCGTGCCAGGCAGGAGTGCTGCAGGGGAGCAAGGTGTGGGCAAGGAAAGGCGTGAGGAATGGGTCACCCTGGGAGGACAGGGGGTTTGCCAGCTCTGAAACGCGGGGCTGCGCGCCTCCATCCTGGCAGAGGGACACGGGGAAGGGCAGGATCCAGCGCGGGCAGCCGGGTGAAAAGGCGAGGTGCGCGTTCGCCCAAGGGACAAGAAAGAGGAGCATCCAAACCCTGTGGCACACACCCGACCAGCTCGGGCGAGGCGAGGCCAGTAGCCC